GCCATATCGCACGAAGACGAAATTTGAGCACGGCCCCGTATATGCGGAGTGCTCAATCGTCTGAGCGCGATATGTACAATCCACTCGAGTTGCATAGTATATTTTTACTACAATCCACTAACGTAAATCTACAAATTTAAAAAAATATTTTAGGTTATTAAGATAAAATAACTAATTTAAAAATAATTTGACTTACTAATTTATAATATAAAACAAACTTAAAGACCTGCGCGGCAACGGTAGTTTAGTAGGTATAAAAATTACAACTTAAAGGTGGAGCCTAAATACCACAAAATTACTTCCGAGACTAATAATCAAAATCAGCATTCATTCATAATTTTAACAACTGCATGTAGATACAAGGGATACATTTTCTAAACTCTAACGCGCGAAGTGGAGACAAAGGAACCGAAAAATATTCCACAATAGCACAAAATAATAATATGTATTTTACAATACAGTGAGCATCTTAAGTCTTACCGCCCCCCTAACTAACTCGTTACTGGGGTCTTGTTAGGAAAATCACCGAGACAGGTCGATTTTTAATTTCTACAATGTACATTTTTGCATGATTAGTTAACCCTTAATTTCATTCCTTACTGGAGGGTAAACACCCTTTCGAAAAATTTAAATGGCATGGGGTGGTGAGTGATAGCTCATTTGTAAGGGGGTTTTATTCTCTATTCAACCATGCAGGGCCGAATTTTAATTCTAAGGATGAGTGCGCTACGTTAATTTCCGTTATTCTGAAACAACAATTAGTCGAGAATTAATGAAGCAAATTTCAAATTTTTTTACACGGTTGAATAGAGAATAAAACCCTCTTTCAAATGAGCTATCACTCACCACCCCACGCCATTTAAATTTTTCGAAAGGGTTGCTCCCCTCCAGTAAGGGATGAAATTAAGGGTAAACTATTCATACAAAAATGTACATTGTAGAAATCAAAAATCGACCTGTCTCGGCGATTTTCCTAACAAGACTCCAGTAACGAGTTAGATAGGGGGGGTAAGAGTTATGGTGCTCACTGTATAGTATGGTGTAGATTAAAACTTATTTTGACTTTGCTTTCCACTTCGGTGCCGCAAGCTGAATTTTTCAGGGACGAAAGTACATGATAAGCTAACCCTTATTCCGGAGGTAATACAAAATTAGGCAGGGCAAAAGGGCACTATCATAAAAAAATCGAGATAATGATACCACCGTATAGAGAAAAAAAAGCAAATTTTTGGTATAATGCAATTAGACTTTGTAGGGAGTATTTTTTATTATTATTTAAAAAAAATCATTTCCATTATCCCTTATGATCGAAAAAAAAAAAAAATAAAAAATTATACGTAAATATCTCGGTTTCAACCGTCCACAAGTTTGGTTAAAAATCTTCTTTTAGAAATATACCTTTCATTTGACGAAAAAAGGCCTAAACGAAAAAAAAATAATTTTCATAAAAGTTTCGCCTATGTATTGACAAGGTAAGAGTGCTTTCCCCATATTTTTTCTTTTAAATTAACAAAAATATTATAATAAATAATTAGTGATGTGATGGTTTTTCAGGAAAGCAAGCATTGAACGCAGGCTCTTGACTCTCTATGCGTCTTTCTCAGAGGTGAAATGTATGCAATCTGTTTGAATCTATTAGATTATTTTATACAGGGATTATTGATTTATCCGCTAAGAAGGCGAATAATGTTTTATAGGGTGTATTACTTCATTACTTTTTTAAGGAAAATAGAAAAATATAAAGTATTTATTGAAGTATATAGATTACAAGCAGTAAGGCTATTGCTTAACAGAATACAATAATTCCTAATATTCATTAGAAATACCTATATAAAGCATAAATTAATAATATTAAAACATATAAGTACAAGACTTGCAAACTAATCAGAATCAGATTCACCGCACGAATCAATAGTTTCCAAAACATTAGCGGCTGTGGTCAAACTATTTATGCAGTTTTTCTGCGCCATACAGGTGCAGAAACCGATATATCCAATATTTTTTCTGCATTTGCAAATTTTGTTTTCACAGTTTAGAACAGAATATTCTTAAAATATTGTACATCTATGAAAATTATCGGTGTATAGTACCTTTTTTATATTTGCATGATAAGTTCTGTTATGTTTGGTGGCAGGTCGAGCAAAGTCTTAAGAATGGGTATCAGACTTCCATCTTGATCTACTTTCCATCCATACTCTTTAACATTAGGAAGCTGCATCTACGGCTTTAAAAAGCTTAGCCAAATATGTAGTTGGTAAAAACATCTTAAACAATGTAATCTTAGGGCGTCTTCAGTCGATGGCAATTTAGCGATGATTTTGAAGAGGCCATTAATCCCCTCAAAATGTCAATGGAAGTAACATTGGCAGTTTTTGAATAAAGTTTTATGAACATTTTTTCAAGATTAGGGAATGTGTTTTCAGAGTACCTTCTGATCAGTGCCAAATCCATCCAAAAGGTGATGGTGCTCGAGGTAGGTTTTCCAATAGGTTCTTTTCCCAATGCCAGACAATTGGCTGGTTGTATTACAACCGGTCGCAGAATGAAAATCAGACATATTTTTTAGAAGATTTTCATCTAAATTTAATCATGTACTGTTATAAATCGTCATGAGTCTCCTCGCCCTATTCTGAATCATATATTTTTTGTCAAAAACTTCTTAAAATAAATTAATAAGACTAGAACATCTGTACCGTTGCAATAAATAATGCACTGTGAATGCCCCGTATTTTTGGCTGATAATATGTGCAATAAGATACGAGTATCAGCTTCTTCGTGATTTGAATTTAGGAAATCGTCTTTTGATGGATCAAAATTCATCCCATATTTATTGATATTCGCGAATCCACCACTAGTTACAGATTGAATATGCTTTTGTTGAATAAAATTTTCAAGAAGTTGCTCTGGCAGAAAATGTGTTAAACGTCTTTTATTATATCGAATGAATGAACAGTTTCATTGATCCAGAAGTGGAATATTGGGTTTGTCAATTTCTATACCAATTGATTTCTGGGATCCTCTCTTTTGATGTGTTGTATTTTTGATAGAATTTTCATTATAATAATCAAATACCACACCTATCTTTGAGAATTAAATTTATTTCTAAAAATAATGTTTACAAATATATTAGCATTTTCTTTAAATGATATGCAACTTTTGGACATTCCCAAACCTTGAACTATTGATGGCACATCAAAAATGTGACAAGTTTTGCCAGAGTCAATAGGTGCAGGCAAGTTTTTGTGAGTAATGTCATATTGCTCTAAAATTTTTCCCAATGAACTCTTATTTGTGAGTAATGTCATATTGCTCTAAAATTTTTCCCAATGAACTCTTATTTGTGGAGGTGCCGAGATACACATTTACTGTTAGAGACATCTGAGAGGCTGTCATCTCAAACTTATATATTTCGGCATAATTAATGCTTCTTCCCATATCCTTTGCTAATAAAATATTTTGCAGAAATTGTTGACCATGTAAGGATTGAGAAGTCATATTTTGATGTCATTTTTGTCTTTGCTTCTTGCAACAATAAATCCGTAATTAAAATTTTAAACGAAAACTTTCAACTTACCCAAATATATTCAGGCATTCAGCTACAACAAGATGAATGTAGATATAATAGAAACGCAAAAAATGTCTATATTTCTTTCCAATTTAGTTGGTACTTTAATATGTAACAACATACACTTATTAATTTTTTAGTAAAAACAGATAACAATATGCCACATTGTCCATTGGCACCTAACGAGAAGTTTAATAATAAAAAAAAGAAAAAAATTTAAAAAATCTTAGAAGAGAAAGATACTCTGAGAGTCGATGAAATTGGCGCTGAATTAATTACCTCGTAAACCTATAACATCTCTCATCGCTTATTGTTATATTTTTGTTAGTTAAAAAGCAAAAAATATGGGATTTAAGTCTGTTACCTTGTCAACGTATAAGCAAAACTTTTAAAAATTCAGCTTGTGACAAAAGAGTGGGAGGTAAATCGTTTTCTAGAGCGAATATTTTAATATATACACTTTACTAATAATAATAAAAAATTTGATTGAGAGTAGAAAAGCGTTCATAGTTTAGCAATACATTCGCTCCTGTACCATATAATTCCTCAAAAGCCAAAGTAACAAATACAAAAGGCCAATCTAAACGGACAATAAACGTTCTCATGACATTTTACATTATTTAATAAATTAGGTTTTTAAAAAATACTTTCTATACCTGTTGTTTTTTATATCCAAGCGGATTTATAATATTCAAACTTGGGGTAGCCATGTGTGAGTTAGTTAATGAAAAGGTACCCTTGGTTTTATAATATGTAACGATCAGATATATAATGTTTCAGCACGTTATTATTTATATTTTAACAAAAATTATTTTTGTTGTTTGAATAATCTGTTAAATTCACGATGAGTGCAATCTTTTTTATTTATTTGATTTTATTAAAAAAAAAAAAAAAAATGAAAACTGAAAAAAAAATACGTACTATTGTTGTGTAATTAAAATAAATAAATAAACAACAATAGTACGCATTTTTTTCAATTTTCTTATTTTTTCCAAAATAAAAAAAAAATATCATGAATTAAAGCACGACGCGAAATGCATTTTCCACTGCTTGTTCAGTGCTTTTACAAACTAAGCTAAAGGGTCATCTAAAGAAGAAAGTGTTCTAATGAAATATGTGTACCTATTATAAATTTTAACAAAAAAATAAAACTTTCAATCGTCTGACGTCTGGTTTACAGGAGTTTTAAACTAATTCCTTGCAGATGACACTTCCTTATGGTCCCGTCTACCATTTCCGCTTAGCTCTCAGTCTGTAATATCCATGTGGGTGTACAAAAAAATATGTATCACGTATGTTAGTTAAAAAAATGCAGGATAAAGTAGCAGTATTACTAAATGTAAAAAAACTCAGTTGAAATTTTAAATATAAAAGTAATTGTAATTTAAAAATACTATAACTACAAACGAATTTTATCAAAGGCGACTTTACATACCAATAAAATAAATAATTCACTAATATGGCATGAGCTATAAAACACAATATACCCTATCAGTTAACAATACTGGTCACTCACTACATGATTCTCACAAAACAAAAAATAGTATGGTAATTGGTAATCCCCCGCGATGTACCACTGACGCCCGCTTAGTTGCAGCAAATTGTCACAAACCTATTGCTATGCATTCAAGAGAGAAGTGTGCGTCTGTTGATTTGGTGCCAAACTGATAGGTACATAAATATTCGAACTGCTTAAATAACAAGAGTTTATTTATTTTCACTTCCTAGATTATCTATTGTTATTATGATTGTGGTCATAAATTAATTTATAATATAGATATTTATCTATTTTGGCACAATAACATACTCTTTTAACAGCATACAGAGTTTTTTTAAAAAATGTATTATAGGTATCGTTAGAATAGTTAAGGTTTTAAAAGATTATGTGCTGTTAGTCCTATCAGGAGAGAAAAATTATTGAAACTAATGCCCTCGCCCAATTCAGAAGTGGGTAGAATCTACAGAATTGTGTTGGGGTATCACATTATAAATAGAAATACATAACTATTATTCAGGCATTTTAACCCTTAAATTGGGCAGCGGCCAGGCTTAACAGGTTCACTATTGTGTATCGATATGTGCAGTCAAGCAGGGTCACCCGCATTTAGTACTTGGATGTGTGACTATCCAAGGAAAATCTGCGTACCTATGGAAGCCCAAAAAAACTGCCCGCGTGGAGGCATACCACAGCTGGCAGGTGATATCCACATAGCACACGGACGTCTTATGGACGTCTAAAAGACGTCCCTTAGAGACATAAAGGACGTCCGAGGGACGTCCTATTTTGGTACCGGGACGTCAATCGGACGTTCCATGGACGTCCTAATGTCCCGTTTCCGTCCATCTTAGGGACGTCCCTGGGACATCCCAAAAGGACGTCTAGGGACCTTTGCGGGACGTCCTAGGGAAGTAAATCAGACGTCCGAGAGACGATATTTGACCATAATCCATAAAGGGTAATAATAACAAAAATGTTAACAATAAAAGAGCTTTATTTAACAACTTTTATCCTAAAAAAACTAGCTAGAGTTAAACGTTTTCAGTTTACAAAAAAAAACAGGAATAAATTAAATTTAACACACAGCGTTGGCAAGATGAAACCTTGGGTCCTACTCATAGCTTGTGTCGACATAACTGAGTATTATAATTTTGTCAAAATTAGTTTTGTTCCAAGTTTCCGCCATTAAGATATTTTCTTTCCGCCAGCGGCTACCGCCAATACACATCACTTATTCTCACCTCAACACAAAACACTCACTTCACTTTACCACCACCATCAAAAAAATAACAAATAACACTATATAACCTTCTTTTTCCATCGTTAAGTTAATTATTGAATGCCGAAAATTGTAGCTGTTGTTGTTCATTTAAAAATAAATGATAGGTTAGGTTTTCTGTCCTCATACTCTTGCAAAAACAAAACGTTGAATTTCAAGTTAACGATTCAAAGACCAACGATGCTAGTACATAAAAAGTCCCATAGACGTCCCTTGGACGTCCCATTAACGTCCCGGACTCGGACCGAAAACTAAACGCTTTGTCGAAACGGGACCAAAATAGGACGTCCTAGTGTTCACTGTAATCAAAAGTCCAGTGGACGTCCTATTTAGGTCCGGGACCAACCGGGCCAACAAGGGGCCAAATCAGGACGTCCATGGGACGTCCTGTGCTATCTGGGTACGAGGTATAGCGTGGGCTGTGCCACCTTTCGGAGGAGATCTAAAGCCATTGGTTCCGAGTTCATTGTTTACCTCGACTAAAATTTCTGGAAATTGGGAGTAGCATGCTCACCAGCGTCGGTGTTAAAACCTCGTAGTTGAAATAGGCCTACGTAATAAATTAATAAAAAAACCTTAAATTATACGAACATTTAAAAACTATCGTATTAATTTAATGTTTTAGGCTCATTCTTCCAATGGGGGTTCTAATAAACTTTAATTAGAAAGATACATTTAGCATCGCAAAACGAAACCAGCAACCGTGCGCCAACGGTATCTTTTTGACATGGGTTTATACTATGAGTCTTCATAATTCATACTCATAACAGCATAGAGGTTGCTCTGACGACAATGACACGCCTCCACACGGTCGGAATAGAACATGTAGGATCTGGTGAGGCGAGACGTCACTTTTGGCAGGAGGCGCTCGATACGCTCCTACTGCTTCAAGCGAACATGGACTCCATCTCACCGAAATATATCTTTCATAAACCATATAAAGTTATAATAGAACAAATAGAAGAGCCGGAAGTGGCAGGTACGATTCATATTTACACCGACGGTTCTAAAACAAAACAAGGCTCAGGATGTGGAATATACTCTAGATTCTTAAACCTAAACATAAAATGGGCTGTGAGCAATAGTGCCAGTGTAGTTCAAACAGAGCTAACGGGGATTCTCATAGCTGCAAAAGAAATAAACAGAAACAATATCACTGGAAGGAACATGCTCATCTATACAGATAGCAGACAAGCACTACTCACCCTGAACAGAGCACGAATTTATTCAGGGTTAGTACTAGAATGTCACGAAGCTTTGGCCGAAGTATCCATCAAAAATGTGGTCACCTTAAGATGGATTGAAGGTCACGCCACATCGAAAGGTAACCGTCTTGCTGATTCACTAGCAAAGAAAGCAGTCAATCAAATACTTTTTGAACCTGGACCTTCTATTGGCCTGACAAACCTAATCAAAGAACATTCCCTTGTAAAATTCAAGGAAAGATGGGATGAAACAAGAAACTGCAGAGTTGCCAGGAAGCTCTTAAGTTATCCTGACAACACTGCAGCAAACAAATACTTGACTATGACTAGACATAATCTGCGCCTAGTTACAGGCATTCTGACTGGTCATTGCCAAGTACGAAAGCATCTCCATATCATGGGGCTGTCAGAATCCGCACTCTGCAGAGGGTGCGAACAAGAAGATGAGACCATCGAGCATATCCTGTACGATTGCTCGACGCTCTCATTTATTAGAAGATTTGTGTTCGGCGAGTATCGGCTAACACCGGCCGATATAAGAGAAGCACCTCTTGGCGACGTTGTCAACTATATTAAATCTGTAGGCTGACTCACGAGCTAGGAGGTGCCTATCATCTCAGGACGATGCACAATGGGCCTAATGAGGCCTAAGTGCCGTGGGGTAACCTCTTTTTATGAACTGCAAACAATATTTAGAAATAAACTTAAAACAGTAAAAACGTATATGTCAAATTTATTGATGTTTTTGTTAAGTTTGGTTAGAATTAAATGTCAGTGGAACCAAAATGACGTCACACTGAACTAGCGCATTATTCATAAAAGAAATAAAGGAACATTCCGAAATTATCTTGTTTTATTTAAGCATTACGTTCAGTTCATCAACGAGCATAATTAAAAAAATTACAATTATCATTATTTCTTGAGTCAAAAAGCTTAATATAAAAGTACCTTTTAACCTTTAGTAAACGGGAACTTAAGTAAGGATATACCCAGTATTTCATCTTCTTCCTCACATGCTGTTTGTAAACAAGATATAGGTACAAATATCACTTGTTTTTTCGAACTTACATCCATTGTTTCGGGACAGAAGACAAGAAGCGCTGCCTGTGAATTAAAAATTGCGATTGCGTCAACGTGACGTTAACGCAACTGGTAAAAAACGTTCGTGAGCATCGACCCAAACAGGTATTTTCGAGGTTAAACTAAGAAAATACCTTGTATAATTTTTCTATTATTGTTACAACTGTTAACGTACAGAAATTTGCAGTTATCTGTTATCCGAAATATATGGGTAAAAAAAATAAGTATTTAGTCAAATATCAGGGCTGTCATTCTAGACAGAACTATGTATAGATTTTTGTTCCTGATATTAAAAAAAAAACTTGGATCAAAACAAATATGTAAACCCAATTAGTAACACTGTGCAAAATTTATATTTCGTAATTTTAAATTTTAAATAAAAATTAATGTGAAAAATAGGAAAACATTTATTAATGGGATCACTTGTCAATAATTTTTAAACATTCATTTGTTTTTCTATGATAATTGCTTCAGCAAATATCTAAAAAAAAATGGTGGGTATTTATCACATTTACTGTGATTGCATACGGTTTTTTATTAGATTTTTATCGTTGTAAAAATTATAGAAATTATGGAAATTATTTACAGAAATAATAATGAGAAAACGCTACAAGCTTCTTATAGGTATAGTTTTATTTTTTCATTTGTCAATTTTAGGTTTCAGTTATAAGGCCGAGTAAATAACAAAACATTATTAAATGACCCACAAGAATGTTATGTTTGATAAGAAAGTTCTGCTAGTAACTTTTTAAAATAATCAATGTATTGATTATATACAGAATATTTATTGATGAAATAAGGAAACGGAAAAACAGCATTTTGTCACCGAAGAAATACATCAATTGAAAAAGGAAATTGGAAGGAAATAATGTACAAATTAAGGTTATATGAAACTGCTGTTTCAATAAAATGAATTTACAAAAACAAAACATGATTTAAATTATGAGAGCTTTGGTTTCTTGCAACCGCATGGTCCAGGTTGTAAATTCCATATTGCTTATGAATTTTTTGTTCCCGTAGACATTTTTCTATTAATTTCGCAATGCAAAATTGGTCATAGACAATTTAAAATCATTTGCATTAATCTTGGAGCGTTGCAATTTACTTATAGGAAGGTATTTAAATCGTTCTGTAAAATTTGTAATACTTTTCAAATTTTTTGCAACTACAAAATGTGCGAATTGTCGATTTTTGTTAATTTTTCAAAGTTCCGGACCTTGTCCGAGGTTGCAAATTTACCAGATTGTTAAGACAAATAATGTTAACATTTGCAACCAATTTTCAAAACTTTTGCATTTTTCTTGACAAAATTAGAGGAAAATAAAAAATTATTTTGATATTTTTACAAAACAAATTTTTCCTTTCAAAATAAAATGTTGCAAATTGGATTAGCTGTTCCAAAAACTTGTATGAGTTATGTCATCGGTTTGCAGCACTTTTGCCAAATTTTATCCACATTATAAACAAAAGTGCCATTTTGCTAGGAATTAACTAGTTCCGGACCTTGGAAATGGTTGCAAATTTAAACTTAGTGTTATTTATTATTACAAAGTTTAAAAACTTTTGTAATTAATGTGAAATGTTCAAATAGGATGTCTTCACTGACTGGCCGTGTCCAGCCGTGTCCTACACCCGCTGACGTCCTTTCTTAAAAAGAAAATGGCGTATTTATCTGAATTAAATATTTCTAGTTCAAAATAAATTGTTTTTATTCGGTTTTACTTTTCTGATATCATCTTTAGTTCATGAGATATTGGGGGCATCATAGTTTTTAAATTGCATCTAAACTTTGTACATGTATATCAATTAAATATTAAGTACCTCCAGTATTTAAGAAAAGTAAATCGATTTTTAAAATTTTGCATTGTACTTTTGATGTAATCATGAATTATACCTACGTATACTCTGCTTATAAAATAGCGGAGCACACGTGACTAAATTGATGTTTGCTAAAAGTAACAATATAACTTGAGAAGTAATCCTAAAACAAAGTCACTAACCAATTTGACAGAAGTGATAAGTGACTAAGATAAGAACGGCCATTTTCATTCAACTTCTTGCTTTACCAAATCACGTGGAATACGAGTATTGTTAATTGTTATAAAAAACGATTGTGCAGTAATTTTTGAATTCGACGCTAATTGTGTAAATTAAAATGAATTTTTCCTACGACCACTTAGGAAAGTAACACCTATTGCACTATTTAGTCTTATGGGAAGTGCTCCATATCACACGCGTGTGGATAAATCTACTTTCCACCCGTGTTTGAATATTAATCTACTTTACTATACGAGGCAAGAGAGAGGTCCGACACGCCCAACATAGGGCGCGGCCATTTTGAACCCTGTGACACAGTTTACAGCTAAAGAATCAGATCGCTCACTCTGCGTCGGCACTTTTGATCTCTATGTTTCAGTTTATACACTGTGCAACTCGGATAATACAATATATGACAACCGCCTATAATAAAACAGCAGTTTTCTGCGTATCCTGAATTTGTATCCCTGGAGTGGATGTTATTTTGGAACTTTCAACTGGTCCGAGTGAGCTAACTGATTCTTTAGCAATAAACTGTGACTTCAAAAATAATATTCACTGACACTGACAGCAGCAAGCAAAATATCAGGTGCGTTTTAATCATCCGCTTCTGCTTCCGGAATTGTCGGTTTAGTCGTTTTAACCTGTCAGATTAAAACAAGAAAACCGACAATTCCGAAGCAGAAGCGGATGATTAAAACGCACCTATTAAAAATATTGCGCCAAGATGTAGGCAACACGTAATAAGGGTTCAAAATGGCGGAGTTTTCTATCTCCTTTTAAAAGGCACTCAGAAAGCTACGCAGTGCGACCATTCTCAGTATAGTAAAAGAAAATCAAAGTATGTGACTTTCATAGATATGGTGACTTTACGCAATTACGCATATAAGCTGTCAAATATGTCAGACTAATTTTTATTTTGATTGATATAATGTCAATTTTAATAGTAAAATCGATTTGATGATTAAATTGTTAACATTAATTTTTAAGTACAGATCTTAGATATTACTTTTTAACACATTATTAAAAGAATTTTAAAGTAACTCCTTACATTATTTTTACTTTTTCCTGGTTCATATACATATTTAATCAGATGCGTCAAATGACAAGACCGTGAAACAGCGAAATGTATAGTGTATTACTTCGCGACTATTTCGTGACGCTGGTTCAATTCCCGGTAAATTATTTTATATAAAAATTGGAAAAATACGACTATTGTTGTTTATTTATTTAAAATGCATGTTATTTATCATAATATAACCTCTACAGTATTCTTTTCGCTATTTGTTTTATACTATTTTAATTACTGTTCAGAAAAAAATTGTGAGTAGAGAAGTGGCTAATCATTAATAATAAAGGTTTTTTAGTTCTCGGTTGTTTAACTTATTTGTTAAAAAATAAACTAATGAAAAACATTAATGTATTCTAATATTTTTTGTACCAAATGTTATTTTATTTTATCTTTATTATCCTATGAAATTGTAAGTGGAATCACAATAGTTTTAAATTTTGATAAAACACTATCTGTAAAATTCTTTAAAAATTATTCACTAAGGCCTAGGTCTTAAAAGTATTTTTCAGTAGTTCATTTGTAGTACACTTAAAAGTTATCCTTTTCGATTATGTTTTTTTGTCCGAAAAACGGCGTTTTATGACACATTCGAATAAAAACAATGTTACTGACCTATTTGACAGAGGACAGAGCTGATAGGTACTCACGAATCGTAGACACCACCGTGGCCTCATTGTCCAAACACCACTAAATATTAATAAAATATTAGATTTTTTATAAAACTAATTTACGAACCGCAGCAGAATATTTTCTGTCAACTCGATTTTTTATTCCGTGACGTCACTGCGTCCTTAGCAACTGAGGCCACCGTGTTGTCTACGAACCGTGAGTGGGTGATACTCAAGTTGTCATAAAAATTATTAAGAACTGCCATTTTCATTCAATTTCTTGCTTGGCCATATCACGTGGGATACTTACATTTTTAAAGACTTTATAAAAAATTATTTTGCAGTAAATTTTACAATTCGATGATTCGACGCTAATTATGTGAATTAAAATGTATTTATCAGTTTTGTCTTGTAATGAAATAAATAATTTCATTTATTTTAAAAATAATGATATTTTTATATCTAATTTACCATAGGTACCTCTGTACCCCAGTCTTCCCTATGTATTTTATATTTGCCCAAAAATAATTAGGTATTATACCTTTCGATTTCTGATCATTTTCCAATTAATTCACAATGAAGGCATTCTCACTGTTTCTTGGCAATTTTTCTCAGCACTAACTGTTATATAATAAAAAAATAGTTATTTTCAATTAATACGATTATGACATGACTATAAAATTATCTAGGGACTTTTGGTTGTATAATTTAGAATTTGAAGTACATGCCATTTGCCATTGTAATTTGAAGGTTAGGTCGTGTTTTGGTTAATCACTACTTTTGTAATTCGAATATTCGGATTGGGTGAGTAAACTTAAATATTATAAAAATTATTAACTTACCTATTATTTAGCTTATTATAATATATTGAAGGTATGGATATTTCTATTTCTTTTTAGCGAACGTCTTTTTAGTGACATTGAACATTGCGCTGAACGCTGAAATAAAGAAGAGCAGGACGCAAATAACCTTAAAATTTCCTGAATTGTCTTCCCTTCGTCTCGAATTTTACGTCAATATGCCCTAAAAAAATATTTTTGTATCAATCGCTTACGAACCTGTATAAATTTATCATTGTAATGATTTTAAGGTGAAAAAACATCATGAACAAGATTAACACAAAAAATAGTAAAGTTGATATTGATAAGTGCCCTTCAACTTTAGCTGTCGATAAAGTTAAAGACGTATCAAACAAGTGCATTTTAAACGAAAAAACACCAGAACTGAAAAACGGACTAGTCAATGGGTTAGTTAATGTAAATAACTCGAGTGGAGGCAAGAAAAGTAGCAGGAAAAAGAAAAATAAGAATACAAAACATGAGACTGTAAATAGTAGTGAAACTGAACAGAACCACAGTGTAGAAAAGGAAGACCAAAGTAATGTGGAAAATGATATTTCTAGAAATTCAAAGGAAGATGTAAATAATGTAGATAGAAAACATGGGTCTAAAGCAACACTAGACTCAAATGAGAATATTTCTTGTGATAAAACTTCCAGTCACCTGAAATTAGTATCCTTAGTGTCTGAATGTGTATCCAAGGATGCTCAAGGTAGTGTATTTAGATATTTCTCTTATTTTTATTGGCCTAGATATGAGACATTCATAAAATGACTCATTTATTAGTAGCCTGATAAAAAAATAGTTTTGATCTTGTAATTGAAGCGTTCGGTTATTTTCAGAAAAAGCAATATTGATATTTTTACCAAATTCTGAAATGAAAAACAATCTGTTTCGGGTATTTCTTGGGTCAGAGTAGTTAATGATAACATACTTTTGTTATAAAACAATATTAATTATCGAAAAGAAAATATATTTTGAAAAAATGTGGCACCTGTATGTATATGTTGCATTAAATGCTGAAAACCAGTAAATGTTAACAATACCTAGGGAGAGTAAGCTATTACTGATGTGTCTACTTTCAGTCAGTAAATGTTAAATTTATTTAATCTGAACATGCTTTTACTAGTAACTGTTAGTATTGATAGAGCTGTTCTAGTAAAAGCTGGATAAACCTTGCCTTTTTGATGTAATGTTGATAAATTGATTGTAATATGACTTCAAAATCTAATAAAATGAAATGAATTAAACTAGAGGGAGCCATTTATATTTCGGAAAAGATATTGTTTAAATTTTGCAATAGTGTTAACATTACTGACCCTTTGGTTTAATGAGGTTATGTCATAATTTATTATGGTATTATTTATACCTACCTACTATCTAGTTATTTGTCTTGATTTTCTTAATATTTTTCAAATCAAATGGATAAATTTTTGAAAAAGTCAGATTAGGTTTCACAATAGTGTAGTATATTTTATTTTTCATTATTAACTAAATAAAGGTTTAGAAATATGAATTTTCTTCCCCTTGCTACTGTCAGTAAATGTTTTTATTAGTAAAATTTTGAAAGTTCCATTAATGTAAAAATTTCCTAATAGTTTAAGTAATTGCTAGCATTAACTAGTAAAAGCTAGCATTTACTGAATTTCCAACTATCACTGTAACATATACAAGTAAAAAACGAATATTCTTCTTTTAAACAATGACACTGTTCTTAATGAAACACAAATTGTAAACTCTAAAATAATAAAATACTCGAATAAAATATATTTAGCATTATAAGGATTTATGCACCAGTCGCCCACCAAGGCACAGGCCTGTCACTCCCTATACTTCCCATGTAAAATTCTGGCTCAAATCTCAATGACTTCGGTACCTCTTCCCTATTGGTCTAGGGCTTTTTTGACAAGTCTGGGGTCACCAATCAGCACGTTGGTTGCTGACACATGAGAAAAATGACATCTATAAGTAAAATAATATTCAGGTTTTAAGCCACTTGAAGACAAAATTCATGTGATTATTACAAAATTCATGTTTTTTTCGTATTTTAAATAATGTTGACCTCGATGCCTCCTTCCTATTGGTCTGCAGTATTTTTGACAAGTCTGGCATCATCAAACAGGACATTTGGTTGCTGTCACATGAGAAAAGTGACACCTAGAAAATTGATTAGTATTTTTGCAGTTTTTCACTGCACATACCTTCATGATGTAATTTGTATTAAAAATACAGTTATATAACAAAATTCGATTATAAAATCAGAAAGCTAGGTTATATTAGATTACAGATACATTTACCCTTGTAAAATATTTTAAATTTTCAAGGTCACAGACTTTCAGAACGATTGACATTTGAGTGCAATCTCTTGTTAACTATACTCTTTAACCAGGCCATCATCTATGGGAAGATTTTCCAATTCACTATCAATATTTTCTACCTCTAAACTTCATCTTGATACTGGTCATTAACCTCATTTCCAGATACTTAGTTCCAGGTAATACTGCTGAAACACGGGAGGTATATATCTAAGCAATTTTTTAGTATCAGTATTTTTTTTGCACTTAATTTAAGACGTTGCTGATATTTTCTTGGTAGGTTCTGAAGGATATTATTCATTTCGCTTGTGAATATGCCGTGCTTACTGATATTCGAGGGGCAAACCACTTGAAAAAAAATTGTACACCATAATTCCACTTCCTTAAATAATTCCTCGTACTTCCACTGGAATTCCAGGTACTTGCATGGAATTCAGCATACTTTCACTGGAATTCCATGTACTTCCACTGGAATTCCACATACATCTGCTGAAATTCCACTAAATTCAATTATAATTTCAGAGTATTCTATTAATATTCCACGAAATTCCACTATCAGGTACACTGGAAACCCAAGTAAGAGAGACCCTATACAAGGCGGATCACCAGTAACTGCAGCGATCGATATCTCAGAAACTAATGTATGAAAAATTTAGGCAGATTTTATGTATCATGTCCAAAAATGTAATAACATAGATTTAAAATAAATGACTTAAGGTTTATTTTCGGTTTAATCAGAAGTGCTTATTAGATGAAAATATTTTAGCTGAATTGGCCCCAAGACATCTAGTAAGTTCCCAAATTTTAAATTTTTTTCATACATCCAGTTTGAGATATTAATCTATGCAGTTACTGGTGGTCCCCCCCCCCCCCCCCCCATATATCTATATTCGAATTTACAAAATTGAAAAAAATATTAAAAAATATTAAAAAATATTTTTAAGTATCAGTATTTGGATGTCCTCAGTTGATCCTTTGAATGAAATAAAGGTATAAAATTAGAACATGCATAATATTATTTCGAAGTTTTATGTTTAAAGCTGTAAATTTTAATGATTTTGCATCTTCCTTACATGGTCATCTTGCTGTTCCATGAGAAGATTCTGCGTCTGTGCTGATTGTGGAAGCATTTAAATTGTAGTTTAGTTTAGCATTAGTTAATTTAAAATGATATGCTTTGTAGTGCCCTATGGAGCGGGCGGACGAAATGGCTTCGCCCGAGCGGCATTTACTATCGGGGTGGTAGAAGCCCACCAAATGGCCACTTCCAAAAATAGGGCATCTGAAGACACCTCTCTGCGACATTAACCTGAGAGGCTGGCTATTCCTAGACACCACCTAGCAACAACCAGCACAGGTTTTTGACGAGTTGATAACCTGCAGTACTTTAATGAGCTGGGAAGAAGGCTCTGTGTAGACACCTCTCAGTGATAACAAGCAGGTTTTTGACATATTGAGAGGTAGGCCCGATATGCCCCTGGAGGATGCACAATGGGCCCAATGCGCCATTTGTGCTGTGGAGCAACCCACCCTCGCCACCATACAGATACAGAGAGTATGCTATGTAAATATGTCCTGGTTACAAATAAAGTATCTACTTAATGTATTTTATATTAGCGAGAATTCACGGATTTTTTATTTTTTGGGGGTTATCATGTTATCAGTACTTATTAATGAACAATTTCTTTTACATCATATTTTTTTGAATTAATATGCATGTACCGAGTGTAATAAACTATATAGTGGACACAAATTAAAAAAAAATCAACAGGTAATCAAATTATTAAAAAATAAAACAAACAATAAATAAAAAATACTATATTTTAGAAAACAAAATCAACAAAAAAAAAAACAGTGGAACAGAACTACCTAAATATTTTATATATTGCACAATAATTCAAATTTTAACTAAAAATCATTATATTTTTCTTTTAAATGCTTTATATATTTTTTCTATTTCTTGCTCATCAAATCTACTAGTTTTGAATGGATGAGAACCAATAGGTCCGTATATGATGTGCATTTTCGGAACGATATCGATATCTTCATTTTTTGGCCACTATAACCAAGATTTTCTTAAAATAATTACTTATTATGCTAAAAAATATTAATTGTTTTAATTTAGTAGTAAGAAATTTAAAAAAGCTTATCTTTAGATTCACAATATTAATTTAAAAACAATATTCAGAGCAAATTTTTATAACATACTTCCTTTGAAATTCCACCTACTTACACATACTTCCACTGGAATTCCGTTACTTTGTACACCATAATTCCAAGGTGTTTTGCCCCTCATTGATATTAACTGTTTTAAAAGATATTTCATTTAGGCAAATGCTTGATAAATATTGTATTGGGAAAGTTGCAGTTAAATTTAAAACATATTTAGGTAAATTTTATGGGCTCTATCCTGTTACATTTTTTTTTTTTTTTTTTTTTTTTGAAAAGGCAAGAAATGTTCTTGTTTCATGTCAATGATGTTAAAAGGTGTTACTCATTTACTCCTAGAAACAGCTTCGTACCATTGTTAAGTGCAATAAACCTGTCTTAGATATTTTTTGTGTTTTTCAATTAACACAAGATATCTATCAGATGGTAGGTATGTATGCCCATATACCAGAAATGGATGTTCTATTGTTTTGTACTATTTCTCGCTTACCAACTGTAGTCATAGCACCATAAGCAACCAATTTTTATTTTGACCTCCACAGTTGTCTGTATATACTATCAGATCCTCTTGTCCTGTCATGGATCACGATGTTAAATGTTTTAAAAGACAACTGCCAATTTCCTCACTGCCCCTCTTAGCAAAATCGTTAGTCCACATTATACTACATCGTTGCCTGTCTAACACCACAGTCATGCAGTCTGATGGGAATCTATTTTGAACAATAACATTTTTATATTCAATATTTGTAAAAAGTGGATCAACTAAAGTTGAGCTAATACTGGCGACCCGTGTTGGTTTTGTAACAATGTTGTACAGGCCAAATTCCCTAAAAATATTCATGAGTAATTTTGTTTCATTACTATTAATAAGTAAGTCCTACATTCATATCACCGCATACAGCATAATATCTAGAGGGGTCATAGTAAAAACACAAATGATCATATAACCTATCAGTAAACAATTTGAAATCTGATTTGGGTGGTCCATAGAGAGATATGACAAAAATGTCCTTATTTTTAAAGATAAATTTACAAACATTTATTTCGATAACTTTCTAAATAGTAAAATTGCAGTATACAGGTTCTGTGAACATACTACTTTTTACATAAATAGAGACTCCACCCCTTTGGTATTAGTCCTACAATACTTAGTTATCAAAGAATAATCACAAAGTTCTAACATATCAATTTCATTAGCATTTAGCCAATGTTCTGAAAAACAACATATAAGCTACATTATTCTTTTTTAAAACTTGTTCTAGCTCACTAATTTTTTTCTGTATATCTTGTATATTGAAATGCATTAGCATAAAGTTTTTGTTTCCATGATTTTTTGACAGATGTTCTTCATTAATTCCGATTTCTTCAGTCTTGGTGTTTTTGTTGTCATATTCTCCTGTTTGGATTATGTCGTGACTGGCATTTGATTGGCATTCGGAAAATTTTCATCTAGTAGGTTTGCTTCCTGGTTGTTCTTATATCTGTTTTCTTCTTTTCTAAAGTCATAACGGTAGACTGCTACCCCACGAGGCCAGAAACTTCCAGTATACGCCTGGTCCATAAGATCATATTGCATGCTGATCTTAAAATATTTGTTATTAGCAGTTTTTTTTGTATGTTGATAATTCCTTCACAGATCACAGATCTTTTCTGTCTTTTTCTAGATGTGTTATGACTATTTTTTCTGTGACGTGATCTTTAAACTTGCTAATAAAAAGCCTCAATCGTTTTTCTTTAGCTCTTCCTACAAAACTGTTTAGTTCTTCCGCATCATTTACTTCTGCTACACCAATGTGGCATCTCGGTTGGTCTTCTTTTTCTGTATTTTACTGTTTCGAATGGTATTTCTTGACTGTATTTGTTGCATCAGGATTTGTATCATCCGTGCCATTTATTAACTTAGTCATAATAGCTAATTGTCCTTTTTCTAAGTTTTCATAAGTTTCCTTAGTTTCGTTGCTTCAGCAGAATCGATATTCTGTTTATTTACTTGATTAATAATATTTTGTTTCTTATTTCTTTGTAGAATTTGGGGACTAGTGATTCCCTTTTTTTGGTAATTAAGTTTATCTATAGTTGACCTAGAAACAGGTACTTCGTTATCGGCACTAACAAGTTTTTTTGTTTCTTATCTTTGTTTTCTATTTCATCGGCTTTAGATTTCAATTCATTAAATTTTAATTGTAGATCCAAGTATTTAATTTTTTCGATTTTAATTTCATTTTCCAGAGATACAATTGTGTCGTTCATTAGTTGGTTAGTAGTTTTTTGTTCTACTACTAATAATTTTAAATTATTGTAGGCCTCAATGCCAAAATTTTCACTTTTGGTTTCCTCTTCACTTTTGGTTTCCTCTTCACAGTCTGGCTTTTTAACGTTTTTTTCTTTAGTTTACAGCATCTAACAACAGGATTCACTCTTTGTGCACACGATGGATGGTATTTTAAATCACAAATTTCACATTTTACGCTGGCGTTTACCGATTTTTTAGTTATTACACTCGTCCACACCTTGCGCGCTAGCCTCAGTCGGCGTCCATCTTAATACTAATGGAAGCAATAGAAGAGAATAAATATGTTTTGTTTCTCATAAGAAGCTGATTCTCAAAATGAGTGAAAAATTGACTCTTCTCTGCCTTGCAACTTGGCCATACCTTTCTTTTTTGCACGAACATGGTGCTCCCCCAAAGTTCTTGATAATATTTTTAACTCACAATCGGTTAGTAGTCTGTGGATTTGTATTTCCTTTGACACAGTCGGGAAGCGACTTATTCTTACTTCACTTTCCCAGCTAGCCAGCAAAGTTGTCACTTCCCTAGCTAGCCAGCAAAGTTGTCACTTCCCTACCAGCAAATGTCATTTGCTTTGTAAGTGTGTTCGTATCTCTCCTTTTTTCCGGAATCATGCCTTATGTAGCCTTTATACTATTACCATGTAAAAATTTTTGAATCCGTAAATATAGATATTATTCTGACACATATTTTATTGATTAATCAATTTTGTAGAAATTTGTCACAATTTGTGTGTCTTGTCATTTTTTTAAGCATCGAATTGATGGAGTACCTGGCAAGCTAAGTGAAAGAATTATATAATTAAAATCAATTTTGATTGACAAACTCAAATTTAATTTCAATACATTTTAATATAAGCTGTATAAAGTTAGCACAACCTAGGCGGACCTTATCTATAATTTTGGTGAATTTATATGTATGCTAGTTTAAACCTAACCTAACTCTGTTATTCATCTTGCAATTTTAATCAAGCTAACGCCATATTTTTTTTTATATATTTTGCACAAATTGTATGCAATATTAAATTTGATAACAAATTATGGAAGAAAGATTGTTATTTTAAACAATTATATAAATACTAAGAAATTATTCAAACATTTTAAAAATCACTACATATTGGCAAACAATATAGAAATCATTGAACATTAGGTACTTTACATATTTTTTTTATGGATTCTCACTTTTCCAATTATTATTAATGATAATTAAAATGAAAGAAAGTGAAGTGAGAAAAATCAGTTAAAACCGAAAAACTGAAATAATGAAAAATACACCCCCATATTTCCAAAGTGTAATCAACCAAAGAAAAATTAAAAAGCTAAGAAAGAAATAAAAAATGAGTGCATCGACTAGGGATCGGACCTGGAACTTTCGGACAGTAGCCAGCCGTCCATGCTTTTACCAGTTGAGGTATCGAGGCACATGATTGTGACATCTAAACTCGTAGATTTTGAAGTAAGTCTATCAGATTCTGACTCTCGTTAGTGTACAAACAAATTCTAAACCTATCTCAGCTTTCTCAATTCTTAAAGCCACCCTTGTGACATCATGTAAAAGGACGACAATTTTGAAAATATGAAAATGGATAATCCCCAATTCACTTACGAAATTATGTAAAATACGCCCCCATATTACCAAAGTGAAAACAAACCAAAGAAAAATTGGAAAAGCTGAGAATTAAAGGGAGAAAAAATGAGTTCATCAACCAAGGATCGAACCTGGAACCTTCAAACTGTATCCGTCCATGCTATTACTAGTTGAGTTATCGAGGAACATGGCTTCGACATCCGAACTCGTAGATTTTGAAGTCAGTCAGTGCACACACAAATTGGAATGGTATTGGCGTTTTTATTTTTGAAAAATTAGTTTTTCTTTATATGTACATCTCAACGAACATTTTTTGTAGGGGAATAAATGGTCAAATAACTGTTACAATTGTAATTATGGCCATTTAACTTTTCTAGACGTCTGACGTTTTTCAGCTAAAAAAATTATTACAAACCCCCCACTTGAATATTCAACATTAAACCCTGAAATCTGATCCATTTATTCATAATTTGACACATATTAGAGCAGGAAAAATGTAGGTAAAATACTAAATACATTATGGCATAGACAAAAGGAAGAGAAAAGAAAAGTTTAACAAATGCTACTAATAAATGACAAAATTATTTTAAGTGAAACAACCAACACAAAATTTTAGGCATAAAATGTATATTTAAAAAAAATATGTTTTTTTTAATTTATCATAAAATTTGAAATCATCGAGGTATATAACAAAACGTTTTAAAAGTTTTATGGACGAGACCAACCTCTATCTATTCTATCAGAAACCCACCATTCTGTTTCTACCGTCAGGAAATTATGTTATTTTTAATTTAGTTTCCAGTGATGTCATCAGTGAATTAGATAGTTTTAACAAGCTCAGTTTGGAGGATAAAGATAGGGAGAATTCGGTGGAGGGTAATGTACAAAAACCTAAGCCAAAAATAGAATTTATACAATACGAATCTGAACTTCAAATGCCAATGATTATGAAGATTATCCAAAAGGACCTCTCTGAACCGTATTCCATATATACCTACAGATATTTCATTCACAATTGGCCGAAACTTTGTTTTCTAGTAAGTTCTTGAAATAAACGTATTGGAAGTTTGTCTTATTGTAATATTATTGTTTTAGGCAATGTGCGAGGGTGAATGTGTAGGAGCAATAGTTTGTAAACTAGATTTGCACCGTAAAGTGATAAAAAGAGGGTACATTGCAATGTTAGCAGTTGATCAAGATTACAGGAAGCTCAGAATCGGGTCTAATCTTGTACAAATGGCCATCAATGAAATGTTGCTAGGTGATGCTGATGAGGTTGTATTAGAAACTGAAGTTACTAATAACCCAGCTCTTCAGGTAAGATTTTTTTCTTTATTTAGTACAATTTATTAAAAGGTTTTTTGTCGTTATGTCTAAGGTTTAGGTTGAAAGTAGAATCTGTTAAATTAGAGAAAAATACAGCAGCATCACAGCGATATATACGAAAGCGTCGTCCTAGTCAGTGCCTTATTGTACACGTGATAAATCAGTGGCGTAACGATTTCATTTAGTATTTTTTTTATATTTGATAAATGTAGTTGAAAAACCATTTTTCTTTTCCTTTATGGATATGCCACATTTGATATATGGAGAATCTTCTTATTTTTATATATATTTACGTTTTAATTCTCCCTAATAATAGAGTGTAAAAAACTTACCTACATTATACAGGTAGTGACTCTTGATAGTTAAGATTAGAAGTATTTCAAAATCTATGCACGTTTGAAATCTGAAAAAATATGTACGCCGTACGTAAATGTCTGTAACTTCGGACACTTTTATTCTAAATACTAACATAACTTACGAACTAAGAATAGGTAAATTTTGAAAAAAAAAAAATACAATTATTGCTAGTGAGTAATTTTCTAACGATTTACCAATGGAGCCATATTCCTATCAATAAAATTTTGCGAAAAAAAAAATATATATATATATACACGCTGTCCGAACTTAGGACAATATTATCCTAACTTTGGACAATTTATGTTTAGCCACAAATTCAATGTTAAATAATTTATCTTGATGTTAGGAAACACAATACTTACTTACTATTAGTCGAAAAAAAATTTTATCGGAATAAAATGAGGGTCTATAATATTACTTCAAAGTATTTATTAAATTATAGTACAATTTAATTAGCAAAACATTGATAAACCATAAAAAAGCATAACAAAAAATATTATAAGGTTAAAACTAACAAAATAATCTGATAAACATTAAAATTAGAAAGTGGAGCCTGTGAATAAATGCTTTCTTGGACGAATCTAAGGATCATTTAAAACATGACTTATTCGATTCAAATCTACACTTCATCTATCATTGCTCCCGGTTCGATTTTCTCCTCTTGATTTGCCTCTGCCTGTTTCTTATTCCTCCACCTGTTGATCATCTTCCTCCTCTTGTCCATCTTTGATAGTACCTGGTATATCGTTTGGCGTAATTGCTTTACCGGGCGGCACATTCAATTTTTTTCTACGTGCCCATTTAGGCATAGGATCAGATAGTCTTGTTTGTTTGAGATATTCGCCTATTAGCCTATTTTAAAGTATTCGTCCAGCTTAAGAATGATAAAAACTTTACACAACTATACCTGTCCACAAATCAGTACTGAACTACTGAATGCGATTTTAATGTTACACGCATAACAATTAGTTTGGAAGCTGCCTACTCAATAGTTCTGCGCCTAAGCGAAACCTTTCGAAATCAACTGATAGATGTAGCCACCTGTGCGGTGAATTGGTTTCAATAAACTATCAAATCTACTTTAAGTTTGAAGTAATTAATTCGTGCTGAATCCAAAACCAATTAAAAATTGAATATATTTAATGTTGGCAAGATAGAAGGTTCCAAAATATAATTTTTGGATTATTATGTATTAATTTTTTTTTTATATCATTCAATTTCTTAAATAAATATAAACAAAAATCGCTTTGATCAATCGTTTTCATGCAACAAATGTTAAAATAAAAAAAAAAATACTTTTTTAAACTTCCAATCCCTTACCTCAAGTCCTAAGTGTATCACTTAGATATTAAAAAAGGCAAAAAACGCAATACTTACCTATTAAAATTGTTTATTTTAATTTATGAATGCTTGGTAAATGATTTATTCAAATTACAGGCGGCCTATCGCATTGCTTCATAAACTGACAAAAATCAGTGAAGAACGCTATATAGTCTAAAAGGAATCAGCGAATGATTGTCAAAAACTATTCCAACCTAATTTTTTTCCAGAATCCTGTTTAAAAAGATGCCAAATATTATATAAATGCAGTTTGTCATTAGGGTGGGTTGAAAAAAAATTTTTTTTTCAGTATAGGGGTAGAATTTGTACCTTATAAAAAAAGAAAATTAAAAAAAAAATTTTACTCAACATTTTGAGGTGGCATACTCATTTTTTAAATAAAAATTTAATTAATTGTAGAATGTGATTTTTTTACTCAATATTAAAGGAGGCGAGATTTAGAGTAGGCGAACCTCACTAGTATGTCGAGTGTCCCACGTACAGAGGAGCCGCCCTTAGTCCTGGCCGGGATTCTTATATGTTCGTCCTGAAAAATTGTAGATCGAAACCAAAGGAAGTGTCAGTCTTCATCCCTATCAGAGTACTCCAGCCTCAAAACCGGTTACCATGAAAAAGATAATTGTCAGTCAAAATTACCTCAATTCGTCGGAATATTTTTTTATGTATGTTCAGCAATAATTATTTACTACGTTGTCCCATTTCGATGATCCTTTTTTTTGTTAGGAAGGGTATATATACCTCAGGGATAGTCCCATATAAATTTGGTCAAGATCTAATGATAGGGTCTATGAGAAAATCATCAAATTAATTTTTTTTGTATTTTCAGCGGAAATTCTTTACCACGTCCGATTTCTACGATTCTTTTTTTGTTAGAAAGGGGATACCTCAGTGGTAGTTTCATATACAATTGGTCAGGATCTGATGATCTATGAGAAAATAAAAAATCTCAGTTTTTAAGGGCATGTGCACGATTTTGAAGTCGTTTTTTTAAAATTTCTTTTATAGTCATTCCATCTTATTTATGTTAAAGTACTACAACTGTTCACTCATAAGTTATTTTACAGTCATTATATATTTTTAAATTTTAATACTTTTTTTTATTTCTTTCAACTGCCAAGTTCATGGTACAATTCGTGTTTATTAAATATCTAAATTCGTGACGTCAACAAGCATTATTTAAAAAAAAGCGTTTTTATTGGTAATCGTACAACTTTTACACAATTACCAAATGGCCATCGACCGGAGTCCTTCAGCCTATTATGTTAAATTTGTTGTATTACGTTACTGTTCTCAAAAAAAAAAAAAAAAATTACCAAATTGCTAGTAAAATAAAAAATAAATAAATGATATGAAATGAATGTTCTTAGTGTATATTTTTATATTGTTCAATGAGCTCCCAGAGAGTTCTTTGTGGATGTCTTCTATGTTGTATTTCTCAGTTTCTTCTTCTACACTTGGTCTGTATTGCTACGATATTTCCTTGGCGTTTGTAGTATTTTTCTGACATGTTGGCGAGTCTTCTTTCTATATGTTGAGTTTTTGTTTTCCCATATAGCATATCGTTTGACGGATTATGGAGTGGATTTCTCATTTTGTCCTAAGCGTTGAGGTTTCTGCGACCTGCAAGTTTTTGATAGATGCATTCCTTGTGTTTATTTATATAGGGTGGCAGTATTCCAGAATGGGTCTACAGATATTGCGGTACATATGGGAGTCGGTTTTTAGAGAGATACCTTGTTTTTTGTATCAAACACCTAAAATACTTTCCTCTAGTAATGCATTTTTTCTTTATGTTGCTGGTGTGCTGCTTGAAGTTCATTTTATTGTTTAATGTGATGCCCAGGTACTTAGCATCATTTGTACAAGTGATTTATTACTTACTTACATTTTAGTGGGTTTGATCTGAGACGCCATTTGCTAAACCATGTTTCGATGTTATTTATGAGATTTTGTAGATTCTCTATCGCTATTTTTAAACTTGAATTGTGGCTGATCAGTGCTGTATTATCTGCATATTGCAAGACATATGGTGCATTGTTGAAATATGCTACATCTTGATTGTAGTTGTGTATATCGCTACAGAATAGATTGTAAAGCAAGGGGGAGAGGGGGGATCCTTGAGGCAACCCTTGTCGAGGAAAGAATTTTGTAGTAATTTAATTTAATTTTTTTTAACTAAAGATAGTGCCATGTACTTGTTGGTTAAATTTTAGCCGAGTGTCACCGACATATAAATTTAATTTACATCATTTTCTGATATAGATGGAAGCAGTGCCGGATTTACAATAAAAGAGCCCCTAGGCACTTTTTCCAAGCGCCCCCAACAATTTTTTTATCAGTATAAAAAGATATAAGGTTAAGGGATTATCGTATTGTGTACATAAAAGGTAAAACAAATTGCACATAATTTTTATTAAAAATATTGCTTGTCAGCGTAACATAAAAATAAGTGTACCGAGTACTGCATTATAAAAAAATACACATTAATAAATTTTATTGAATACAGATCACGGATTTGTTCATTTTCGTACCTTTCCCTCCAAATATTAGGAATTTGACATAATATTGGTAAAAATCTGATAATTTTGACAGTGTTGCGCCATAATTTCTAGTGTAACCTCTGGCAACACTGCCAGGAGCGTGCTGCTCGTCTTTTGTTTTATTAGTTAGGTCTGATTAACTCAATCGGATTGAGCTGACTTGGGGTCGTCGAACTTGTCGAGAACTGAGGACTGTCGAATAATCGGTAATGACCATCAAGATTTGTTAACTAATAAGGATTGCTACATTAGGCCTAATGCCTCAGGCCAATTTGTACGCGAATATGTGAAAATTTTATGCACCACTTTGACGTCTTGAATTTGACGTATTATCTTTGTTTTTAGCAAATAATTGCATTCAGCTTATACTTTATTCAGATTTTTGTCCCCTTAGGGAGCTTGATTTTTGCCAAATATTTCATGTTGATATTATTGTTTGTTTTTTAGTTAGGATAGTTTTAAATATTTTAAATCACTTAATCCGCTATTTTTATTCAAATATTTTTCAGAATCAATAGGCTCCATCTCCTTATAGAGCTTGATTTTTACTAAAAAAAGTCATGTTGATATCGCTTTTCGTTCTTGATTTATGATTTAAATTTTAACCCCCCTAAACTCTCCATTTTTAATCAATTTTTTTTTAAATCAAAGGGCTTCTTCCCATTATAGAGCTTGATTTAGCTAAACATTTTAAGTTGATATCATTTTTTGTGTTTGATTTATTTTTTGGTTTTAATTTCAACCCCCTTTTACCCCCCTCCCCTATTTTTAACTGGATTTTTTTCAAAATCAATAGGCTTTGTTCCCTTATAGAGCTTAATTTTTGCTAAACATTCAAGTTTATATCATTTTCCGTTTGTGATTTAGAATTTTTTTAATATTTCGACCCCCCCCCCTTAATCCCCCATTTTCACTTAATTTTTTTTAAACCTTTTCGGACGAGCAAATTTTTTAAAGATTCCCTCTCTAGACGGGCGAATTTTCAGCTTGCGTGATGTTTCCCGTCTTTAACGGTGGACGAGATAACCCGTCTCCCGTATTTTAGGCTTGCACCTTTATGGCGTTTCACGTTCTGAATGCCAAATGTTTACTAGTTTTTTTTTATAATACACTACATTTTACTTCGAAAATATTTATTAGCAAAAAAAGAAGACGCCTTACAAAAAAGTAATGTCCAACTAATCTACTCTTAGGCACTAATAATTTTTTATAGTGTGATATCTTTCAAAACATGGTATTTATTATTCATGAAATACAATACGAGGTCTCCTTCGTTTTTTTATTTTTTGAACATACAACGCGCCTTCTATAGGTCAGTTTTAAATTGGTTTCAGTTTTCGGAAGCTGGTTCGGAAAATGTCGTGCAATAAGTCGCAAAGGTGACTCCGCACTTTTACTTCTTCTTGAGGTTGACTTTCGAGACATATCCTCAACTGCATATTTACTTATAATATTTTTTACTAAATTCAACTAATCGAATCGTCTTGGCTCTTGGCTAGTCTGGCTTGCGCCCAACTACTGCGATTTGCATCGATATTCCTCCACCCCAGTAAATTTTAACCAATATTTGAAGCTTACGTGCAAAATTGTATGCGCGTTTTAACACGGCTCCCGCCTATCGGGCACTTGGGCTCACAAACGGTTAACACGTCTCCCGAACTTAAAGGGTTAAAATCGATAGCTTTCGTCCCCTCAGAGCTTGATTTTCCTGAAATTTTTAAGTCAATATCATGTTTCGTTTTTGACTTATCGTTCGGACAAAAAACGTGACATCAGATGGACGGACGGACAAAGTAAGCCTTCACAGACTACTGTGTGAACAGTATAATAAGAAGTAATTATTTAATTACTATTATAAAAAAACCAAAATAAATGTAAATTAAATTCAGGTGAAGTTATCTATTTTTGTTTGTTTTTCGGTTTACTGAGGTATCAATACCAAAAACGTCGGCGCCCCTTTGGGGCTTTTCGTCCCTAGACAATCGTCTAGTGGTAAATCCGGCCCTGGATCGAAGGGTTGTAAAATCACTTGTTACAATTTTTTTTTTCGCAATGTTACATGGGCCTAACAGAGTTGACGCCTAACTAGTAACACGATGATAACTCTGTACTTTTCTCTAATTGAATGGTGTGTAGATTTACTTTCTTAATTTTAAATACCTAAAGAAGTTTATGATTTATTTTAAGTTTTTTTTTGTTAATATGTACTGTAAATGCATTTTTTTATAGCCACATAGTTTGAATATAGCCTAAAATTATTCTAAGCTTACAGTAAAACTCTACACCACAATAAATATCCGTCGTTTCTTTTTTCAGTTATATGAAAAGCTAGGATTCGTTCGTGATAAACGCCTCTTCAGATACTATCTAAACGGAGTAGACGCTCTAAGGCTCAAACTCTGGCTGAGATGAGTCACGAACTGAGGAAGAAACTTAATTTGGAATTGTTTAACGCCTTCAAGAGACATGATGTGGTTCTGTTGTGTTAGGAGTTAAATGACAAAAAGTAGTTGGTTGTTACAAATTTTATTACTGTTGATGTTTTTTTAAACTCGGATTTTTCTTTGACAAAGAGTTCTCTCTAGTTTATAAATGGGGATGTTAAACGATTTTTGTATATTGTATACTGTTTACAAGAAGTATGAAATTAATATTTATATTTTGTATGCAGTATATCTTTTTATATTTACTGTCGAGTAATATTTTATGGCTCATGGTGGTTTTTAACATTCTCATATTGCAAGTATCGAGAACTGCTTTGATAATCTTTATTATTGTTTTTTTTTTAAACTCTTATCAAATAATAGGCAAAAAATATTTTAAATATTTGTTTACCATGTTTTCCTAATGTTTCTTAGATAATAAAAAGAAAATGAAATATACTTCTAGTTATCGACGAGATGCAAACGTAGGACACACAAAGAAAAAAATATTCTCTTCTAATCATCATTTTCCTATTACTTTTTAAAGGTTTCAATAATTGTTATTTTTAGTGAGGAATTTTAAATTTTATTTTGGAAAGTCGTACTGAGCATATGAAAATAATCGATTGGAAGGCTTAACAAGAGAAAAAATAGCTTTTAAACCTTAGTATGAAGAAAGCAAAATTGAAAAAGTTGAAAAATATTTATTAATCCACTATTAGGAGTTAAATAATTGTGTGCTTGAATAAGTGTTTTTTTTTTATTCCTTTTTCTATTATGATGTATTTTTTCTAGACATTATGTCTATAAATGTGTATAAAATTTTGTATAAATTTTAGTGTTCTTATATTACACTTACAGTGTTGTAATAAAATGGAAAATATGTCTCTACAAGTTTTTTTTTTTATTATTTGAAACGAGTACCACCATTAATGACCATTCAAGAAATATTTTCACATAACAGTAAATTGCAATAAAGCGACTGCTAGGTAGGCAGCTAGTAATTTCATTCTATGATATAAATAAAACGTTAAATCAATATCACTGAACTCCCCATATACATATAATCAATACCGCAATCAATTGTTAATGAAAACTCATTCGGCGACCGGTTGCGGCTGTACATCCATTTTCAATCCTGTAATTTACAAAAACTTTTCAAATACTGTTCGGGGAAAAAACGTTTAATTTAATCATTTTGTTAATATTTAGAGTATGGTGAAATATTTTGATTTGGTTTGCCGATTTATTTATTTTCACTTGTGTAAAATTGGCTTAATAAAATATTTCGCCATCATCAAGGCCCTTCGAGTTATAAAAACCTCATCTTACGTTTGTGGAAGAGGGTAGTTCACACGAAAATTGTTATAATTAGCTTTGAAGGCATTGGTCAGCTTCTGAGCCTGATTTGAAAGAGCATGTTCATTATTATAAATTACGTATTTGTAAACGTAATATTTGGTTTTTGCAAATTATGGATTTTTCTTTGCAGATAAGAAAATGTGTTATTATTAACTTTGTTATTAGAAAACAATAGCTTGATTATCAATCCATTTATGGCTTATAATCACAAAAATTTGTATTTGCTAATAATCTATGTATTTAAACTTCATTTCGGCTTAAGAGGAAACTTTACAAGCTGAAAGACCTGCGGGGCAACGGTAGTGTAGTAGATATAAAAATTACAACTTAAGGGCGGAGCCTAAATACTACAAAATTACTTCCGAGACTAAACAAAATCAGAATTCATTCATAATTTTAACAATTGCATGTAGATACGAGGGATACACATTCTAAACTCTAACGCGCGAAGTTGAGACAAGGAAACCGTAAAATATTCCACAATACCACAAAATTATATGTATTTTACAAATAGTATGGTGTAGATTAAAACTTATTTTGACTTTGCTTTCCACTTCGGTGCCACAGGCTGAATTTTTCAGGGACGAAAGTACATGATAAGCTAACCCTTATTCCGGAGGTAATACAAAATTAGGCAGGGCAAAAGGGCACTATCATAAAAAATCAAAATATTAATACCACCGTATAGGGAAAAAAATACTATTTTTTTTGGTCTAATGCACAATTAGGTCTTTGTAGGGTGTATTTTCTATAATTATTTAAAAACAATCATTTGCATTAGCCCTTATGGTCGAAAAAAATGTAAACGTAAATATATCGGTTTCAACCGTCCAAAAATTTAGTTAAAAAGTCTTAGAAATATACCTTTCATTTGGCGAAAAACGAAGGCCTAAACGAAAAAAAATATTCTTCATAAAATTTTCGCCTATATATTGACAAGGTAAGGGTGCTCTCCCCATATTTTTTACTTTTAAATTAAAAATATAGCAATAAACAATTAGTGATGTGGTTTTACAGGAAAGCAAGCTGAACGCAGAGTCCCTCGACTCTATGCGTCTCTCTCAGTGCTGAAATTTATGCAATCTGTTTGACTCTCTTACATTATTTTATACAAAGATTATTGATTTATCCGCTATGAAGGAGAACAATGTTTTATAGGATGAATTTATTACTTCATGTTTTTTTTTTTGAGAAAAATAAAATAAATTATTTATTGAAGGTATAAGCACAGTATAGATTATAAACAGTAAGGCTTTGCATAATTCTAATAAAAAAAAAAATTAGAAATATATAAGGCATAAATTAATAACATTAAAATATATAAGTACAAGACTTACAAACTAATCGGAATTAGATTCACTACATGAATCAACATTTTCCAAAATATTAGCGGCTGTGGTCAAACTATTTCAGCAGTTTTTCTGTGCCATACTGAATACAGATGCAAGAACTGATGCAGCCAATATTTTTTTCTGCATTTGCAAATTTTTCTTCGACAGTCTAAAACAGAATAATATTGTTAAAATATTGTACATCTATGAAAATTATCGGTGTATAGTACTTTTTTGCATTTGCTTGATAAGTTCTGTTATGTCTGGTGGCAGGTCGAACAGAGTATTAAGAGTGGGTATCAGACTTCCATCTTGATCTATACTCTTCAACGATAGGAAGCTGCATCTGCGGCTTAAAGAACTTAGCCAAATATGTAGCTGGTAAAAACATCTTTAAAAATGTAATCTTAGAAAGTTCAGTCTATGGCAATTTAGCGATGATTTTAAAAAGGCCATTAATCCTCTTAAAATGGTAATGGAAGTAACATTGGCAGTTTTTAAATAAAGTTTTATGAAAAAATTTTCAAGATTAGCGATCGTGTTTTCAGAGTACCTACTGATCAGTGCTAAATCCATCCAAAAGGTGATGGTGTTCAAGGTAGGTTTCCTACAGGTTTCTTTCCCAATGCCAGACAATTGGCAATTGTATCACAACCAGTCACAGAATGAAAATCAGGCAAATTTTTAGGTCTTTATCCAAATTTAAATCATGTATTGCTATAAAACGTCATGAGTCTCCTCGCCCTATTCTGAACCATACATTTTTGGTGAAAAACCTTAAAATAAATTAATAAGACTACAACATCTGTATCGTTGCAATCAATAATGCAGCGTGAATGTCTTTAATTTTTGGCGGGTAATATGTGCAATAAGATACGATAAAAGTATCAACTTCTTTGTGATTTGAATTTAATAAATCGTCATTTGATGATTCAAAATTCGTCTCATATTTATTGATATTCGCAAATCTGCCACTAGTTACAAATTGAATATGCTTTTGCTGAATGGAATTTTTAAGAAGTTGCTCTGACAGAAAATTTGTTAAACGTCTTTTGCTAAATATCGAATAAATGAACAAGTTCCATTGTTCCGGAAGTGGGATATTGGATCTGTCAATTTCTATATCTATTGATTTCTGGGATCCTCTCTTCTGACGTGTTGTATTTTTGACAGAATTTTCTTTATAACGATCAAATACCATATCTATCCTTTGAGCATTAATTTTATTTCTAAAAATATAGTTTACAAATATATTAGTATATTCTTTAAATGATATGCAACTTTTGAACTTTCCCAAACCTTGAGCTATTGCCATCCCATCAAAAATGTGACAAGTTTCGCCAGAATCAATAAGTGCAGGTAAGTCTTTGTGAGTAATGCCATATTGCTTTAAAATACCATCTATCCATCTATAAATTGACACATTTTAACAACTTATAACTCGAGAATTAAAAAAGATATCGAGATGCAGTTTTCACTAGACCTTTTACATTTACTTCAAGTTTTTCTTGACATTGTTGCCACATGTAATTTTTTTCTGGAAAGTGCCGAAAAAAAAACGAACTTTTTTGAACTAAAATTGTGAGCTTATTTTAAATAGAACACCCTATAATTTTTAACATCCTCGGGAAGACCATTTCTTTCCATTTCCAAAAATGTATACATTGTAAGCATTTACTTTATTTTTTAGGGAAACATTCACTTTTTTATGCAACCATGTCAATAACTTCCAAACGTAAAGTATCACAATTAATTAACTTATAATTTGGGAGTAAGGCAATGTATTGATAAAAGGTTTTCACCAAAATTCTTGGAAATGTTTAAATTTTTTTCTGACATAGTTGCCTAATCTTAAACTTGTAAAGTTTTCGTAAAAAAAAATAAATTCAGATTAAGGTTTTATGGCGAATGAAACATTTCGTATCTCTCATAGTCATTAGATAGTTTATTTCTTCGCCTTTTAAAAAAAAGTCAATTTTTTATAATTTTTTTATTGCTTTAATAGGTTTTAATTTTAGGTAATTAAATCAATGTTAACGGTGTCTATTACATTTTGGTGGCACATATCGAAATATAAATTGACGTTTTAATCGAACGATCATTGATAAGATACTGTTTTTCATTGCCTTGTCCCTTAGGTATAAATTTCAGAATAATATCAAGTAATGATATTTTACTTATAAAGACAGAGGGGAGCACCTCATACCACACGGATTTTTGTGGCGTAAGTGGTGTCCCACCATGTTGGTACCTATCTGAATTTTTATTGAATACAAAAAATATGTACTAAAACATTAATAAATTAATTGTTGTATATGGCCTCCATTTTGTTCAATACATGTATGCAGACGCATTAAAAAATTTGTAAATGCATTTTGCAGCATTTCTTGGGTAATTGTATTAAACACATGAATTATATTATTCCTCAGTTCAGTTAAGTTTGTAGGTGTTGGATCGTAGCATCTTTCCTTAACATACCCCCATATAAAAAAATCTGGTATAGTTAAATCCGGAGAATATGGAGCCCATTCGATGGGACCAGCCCGACCTATCCATTCCTATCCATTTATCTCCAAAGGTTGAGTTCAAAGAATTCCTGGCTACAAGAGAGTAATGCGGTGGAGCACCATCTTGCTGGAAATATACAGTATTTAGTATTTCTTCTTGTTCTAGTTGAGGATAAAAAAATAGTTCTAGCATATCCGTGTAATTGTTTCCATATACTGTTTCCTCTTGAAAGAAAAATGGTCCATAAATTTTGGTTTTGGACACACCACACCATACATTTACCTTGGGAGCATCTCTTTCAAACTCGTTGAAAGCTCTAGGATTTTCGTCACCCCAAATCCTACAATTGTGTTTGTTTACGCGTCCACTTAAATGAAACATTGCTTCATCTGACATTATTAGATTTACATTTGGTTGATGTCTAAATAAATCTAATAACGTCTCACACATAAAAACTCTCTTTTCAAATGCATGATTTTCAATTTTATGAAAAGTCTGAACCTTATATGCTTTAATCTTGATTACTTTTAAAATTTTATGCACCTTACTCTTTGACATATGTATGGATTGGGCAATTTTTCTAATAGATATTT